CTAGATTCCAAAAATGCTTTGGCGTCCCTACTCATCCCGAATCACAGAAAATCTAATTGGTTCAGAAGAGTCCATCTTCTCTGCAATCTTAGCTGGAGTAGAAAGGCCAGTCCCTGGCAGGGCCTTAGTGCCTGTTTGCTGAGTGAACTGATATGAAATAAATAGCTGCCAAGTCTGAGGAAAGCCTCAAACATCAATTTGGAAACTAAAATGGACTACAGAGCCATTCCTAACTTTGCAACTCTTGTTGTTGTCCATAGTTGAATCATTCTCTGAGGACCACGATTAAAATTGGGTCCAGGCAACCACATCACAGCAGGGTCTTCAATAGGCTCACAGATCATTGTCAGCAGCTCTCACCTCATGAAGTGGCTGTTGACCTATGGGAGAGGGATGGGAAGAGTGGTGTGGTCCTGATTACTCCAAAGGACAGCTGGAAGTTGGCTGTCCCCAAAGGAGGCAGCACAGTCCCTTTGCAATATGACATGAGGTACACAAATGGGGTAAGGGTGAGAGGGAAGACACCAGAGCCAGCTCTCCTTGCACACCACCTGTCATCCTACTTTATGGGCTTTGCAACAAATGTGCAGAGTCTATGTTCCTGAGGTCAGGAGCTCTGGTAAGGGAGGATGGGGGCATCAGAAGTGTTGAGTCCTCATCACCTGTGCTAGGTAGGCAAGACCACACAAGTCTGAGAGACTATACTTGTTCTAAAATATGAACAGTACATTAGGATGTCTTACTAGTACACCCAGAAAGGAACAGAATGGCATCAGAAGTACATCTAGATGATATTTTAGACTTCTTGAAATAAAATAATTTAAATTTGTGTTATTAATTAAGCATTATTCACCTACAGTTGGACTATTAGAAGTCTAAAAATCCAACAGCTATTAAGGTTATACAGCCATCACTAATTTTAACCTTCCCTCTAGGAGAAACTCCAAACCGGTTTGCATTCTTTCCTCTCTTACACACCCACAACCCCTTGCCTAAGGAAACCACTAATCTACTCTCTGCCTCTATAGATTTACCTGTTCTGGACATTTCATCCAAATGGCCTCAGTGGATGAGGCCTTTGTGAGTAATGTCCTCCACACAGTTCATCCACACTGTGGCATACATCAGTACTTCATTCCTCTGTGCAATCAAACCAAAGTGCACTACACAGACAGAACACTCATCATTTAATGGGCATTTGGGAATTTCCACTTTTTGACTATTATGAATAATGTTGCTGAGAACATTTGTGTATAGGTTTTTGGGTCTGCCTTTTTGTATCCCTTGGCCATATCCTCAGAAGTGCAACTGCTAGGTAGAAGACTAAGATCCAATAAGGATAGTAGCATCTTTTCATGCACTTCTTGCCCATGTTTATAGCTATTTTGGAGAAATGTCTATTTAGATCTTTTGTTCATTTTCAAATTTGTTTATTCATCCTTTTTGTTATTGAGTAGTAAGAGTTCTTTACATATTCTAGAGATAGGTCCCTTATCCTTTTATGTTTTCCCACTGTGTAGGCTCAAATGGTATTATTTGAAGGAGAAGATGCTTAATTTAGAGTCAGAAATTGTAACAATTTCAATCCCAGCAGTAAGGAGGATGAGGCAGGAGAACCATGTGTTCAAGGTTAGCCTTGGCTACATAGTGTGTTCAAGGCCAGCCTAGTTTATATTGCAAGCCCATATCTCAAAAAATAATTTTGGTAGAGTCTAGTTTATCTCTTTTTTATGAATGTGTTTTTGATGTTATGTGTAAACTCAAAAAATAATTTTGGTAGAGTCTAGTTTATCTCTTTTTTATGAATGTATTTTTGATGTTATGTGTTAAAAAAAAAAACTATTACCCAGATAAATCCTGTTTTCTGATAGTTTTATAGTTTAGATCTTAAATTTAGCTCTAGCATCTATTATGGTTTAAGACGGACCAGACTTAATGTCCATTTACTGGTTTAATTATATTAGTATATTGTATTAGCCATAAACATACTAGCTTTGGAATAATCTTCCCTCTCTACATGCTTCCATCAGATGCTTATTATTTGCCTGCCCTCTACAAGAACCGCTGGGCAAACAAAGATGGGTGAATCCTGCTGTAGCTTGGATTGGAAACACCCCCCAAAGGCCTGTGTGTTAAATTTTCAGTCCCTAGCCTGGCACTGTTTGATGCTAGTGAGGACTGAAAAAAAAATGGAATGTTATAGAGAGACTTGTGGTCATTGCAGGTGTGCCTGGAAAGAGACACCAGCATTGTAGCCGCTCCACTGCCTCCTTGGTCCACTTATCTCCTTCCTTGGGATAAACAGGCCCCTTTCACCTTGTACTCTTGCCGGACTTGTGGTCATTGCAGGTGTGCCTGGAAAGAGACACCAGCATTGTAGCTGCTCCACTGCCTCCTTGTTCCATTTATCTCCTTCCTTGGGATAAACAGGCCCCTTTCACCTCGTACTCTTGCCATGACGTCCATTTTCAATTGGCCTTTGAACCTTAACAGAGGCTCAAAATCAATAGGCAACCAACCATGGGTAGAAAGTCCTGAAACTGTGAGCAGAACCCATTAGCATTTTTAGAGGTTGCTGTCTTAGGTATTTTGTTACAGTAAGAGAAGCTAACCAACAATGATTGTAATTACTTCACAGAGTATATAATAAAAAAAAACTATAATTAGCATGAGTACTGTCATGTGTAAGGCCAATTATGAAATCTAGGCACAGCCAAAATACCTTTCAAATAAAAAACATGGGAAAGCACATTTGAATATTGGTTGATAAATAAAGCACTGTTGGCCAATAGGGAAGCAACTTAGGAGGGACTAAGAGAGAAGGAAGGTTCTGGGAAATGTAATCAAGAGAGGAGGTTGCCATGTGATCCCAGGAAGATAGGATGCTAAGGCTGGCATCCTTGGTAACATAAGTCCTTATAAAAGTATACAGATTAGTAGTTATGGTTGATAATTAAGACTGATCTAACAAATAAGAAATCCTAGTCATTGGCCAGCATTGTAACTAATATTAATCTTTGTGTGTTGTTTGGGGGCCCTAACATAGCAGCAGAACTCAGGCGGCTGACAGAAAGAGTTATTGTTACAGGTACCCAGTGTAGTTGTTCATTTAGGGCTTAGAGGGATGAAACCAGCCAAGAAGGAGAGCATGCCAGGGACTGGAATGGAGTGCAGCGAAGTGCAGAATGGGGAAGCACAGAGCCAATAGCAGGAACAACAGCTCTAGGGTCAGTGTACAGGGACAGCAGTGACAAACTCTGTGGAAACCTGGCACCCAGTCAGTCAGGGACACCAGGTACCTACCTGTCAGTGGAACCTCAGTCATATCCAGGAAAGACCAGGACCCATGAATTCATGTTTCACTTCCCACCTGCGATGAGGTAAGCAAGCTTCTTCCGCCATAAAATCAGCCTTCCAGAACATTCCACAACAGCTTAAGGGAAAGTGGGCACTGGAGCTAACCACACCCACAAGCCTCAATTTTCCATCTCCTTCACTCTTTGTTTGCTCCAATAAAAAGAAGGAAGTCGACTTTTGCAGTTAACTTTAAAAAGAAACCATTCATAAGACAGGCCCTTGGTAGGCTATTTAAGAAAGGGCCCTTTCCTGTGTGTAACCAAAGAAAACACTGAGAAAGAATGGTGGAGACAGGATTTTACACACTTCATCGTGGGAAGCCAGCCCACCCAGCTTGACAGCCCATAAGAGGCAATCAAAAAATGAATTATTAAGGAACTTCAATTAGGGAGCTACTAAATCCTCTTAAATGCCGGTGAAGCCTAATCCAGCATGGAGCCTCACCAGGTGGGCAAAGAGGCAGAGAGGTTTCCTTCTGGCACACAGCTGTCCATATTTAAACCTGCAGTTCCCTGTCAGGTTTTAAGTCAACTGATCAGTTTCATCCACATATATGAAATATCTTCAGGAAGCAAGAGATTAACTAAGCTGTTTTAAGTCAATAGAAGTCTCAATGTTTATCAAGGCACATGTTGATGAGGTGGAAGAAACCACCACATACTGGGTGGGGAAATAGTTATTGAATGACAATTATCTTGAAATAAATTTCAAACACACTGATGGGAAGCACCAGAACCAGCTCTAAGATTCAAGATCTGTGTCATTCAAAAGTGACAAGGATGACATCACTTTAAATGGGGAAAATATTTAAAAAGATGGATGACGGTGAGCATGTTTCAAATGCAAGATGCTGGAGTGCTCACAAGAGCTCCCCAAGAAGACTTTGTAAGTGATCCTGAAAGACCAGTTTGAAAGGAACAACTGTGCCAAGAGGCTATTGATTTGCAGAGGGCCAAGGGTCCATCCTGCTCATCATGAGAGCCCTGCACACTGGCCTGGCATGGTTTCCATGTGTGTGCCTTGTTCTTGACAGAAGGCTACTGGGAATACTCAGTGTTTGCCTTAGTCCCCACCTAAGCGAGGCCAATCATCAAACAAAAAGCAGTTTTTCACTAGAGATCTTAAGGGGAGGGGAGAAAGCAGCTCAAACTGTCCTCACTTGAACTTGAAGGCTTAATGAGTCTTAGTGCCCAAAAGCTGGAGATAGGCCAAGTCAGTGGGGCCAACTGTGATTTGGCAAGTGAAACAAGAGAGAAACCTACATAGAAGGCCTATCAAGTTCTTAACAGCCTGCTAAGGCCAGAATGAGTAATGTCAAAAAGACCCAAGTGTGCTAAGATTTGAGTGAGAATCTAGGTTGGTGAAAAAGCCCCAGACAAAGAGTCCAAAGATGTGGTTAGTTCCAGCACCCTGGGTCTCCATGCAATAGGCTATACAGAGGGCTCAAGGGTGAGGGGATGTCCATGCTGGTCAGGTTGCTGTGAACACTTAGTGAGAGGAGGGTCATAGGCCAAGAACAAAACAATGATATTCTGAAAACACCAGTATGAAATTAATGGTCAACACCCACGATGACCACACTTCCCAGTTATCAGAGGACAGTCCCAAATGCCACTGGTTTCTTCTGTATCTCATCTACTTACCATCTCCTGTCAGTGCTGCCTTGATTTGCAACTGTAGGGTTGCCCCCCTCACAAGCCATCGGGACATAGTAATCTCACATTTCATTTTCAGTTTTTCAGGAAAGCATTGAATATGTTGCTCATATTACATAAGATCTTTAATGGTAGCCCACTGTGATGAGGAAAAGCATGAGGCAAATCTAACCCAGCCAGGTGGAGAAATGATCATTTGATATCATTCCCTGTCAAAGGCCTCCAGCATATCCTCTACTACAGGGGCAAGGCTTACTCAGCTTGATTTATGAAGGTTCTAGGTAGGGAACACAGGAAGCTGCTCCAACTTCTTAAAAGTTTCCTTCACCACCACCTTAGTTTCTATGGTAACACTTTACTGGTTTCCTCTCCATCCTCTAATAGGTCTTTTGTTTGCATCTTTCTCCTTTTCCTATAACAAGAGAGAAACTCCCTCAAACTGAGATGTGTTCTGCTCCTTTCTGTGGGTGCTACAGGGGTGTTCCTTCCCTGAGACCCTGCTGCACCACACAGCTGATCCAGGACATCTAACCAAGGCTCTCTGATATGATTTGAATAGGTCAAGTCCACTGACAGCCTCATTTCCCAAAGTCCACAGGTCTCCCCCCCTTGGGTGGTTATCTATATCTCAAACTTGACCTGCCCAAACTGAAATCATAACCCTTCCCCAAAACAGAGGATCCTGACCAGCTGAGTCAAGAGCCCTGTCCTGTGGGTCTGTCATTCACAACAGATAGATTGACTTTTTAAAAAGCCTTTTATTAGTCAATGAATGCATGCTACCCTGATTATTTCATCAATATTCTTATTTCCCCTGCTCTAGAGGTCAAATTTCCAAATCCTTGTGTGGCTCACAGGGCCCTGCTAATCTTATTCTCCCTACCCCACTGCACCTACTCTGATATCATGCCTTGCTGTTCTGGAATATTCTCTTTGTACTCTTTGAGGATGTGTTGCTCTCATTGGTTCAATAAATAGCTAAATGGTCAATAGCTAGTCAGAAAGAGGCTAGTCAGGACTTGCAGACAGGAAAAGGGCTCTGGGATGAAGGAGGGCAGAGCCGCGAGGAGACACAGATGGTCAATAGCTAGTCAGAAAGAGGCTAGTCAGGACTTGCAGACAGGAAGAGAGCTCTGGGATGAAGGAGGGCAGAGCCGCCAGGAGACACGAGGAGAAGGAAGATGAACATGCTATATTAAAGAAAGGTCCTGAGCCATGTAGTAGAACATAGATAAGAATTATGGGTTAATTTAAGTTGTAAGAGCTAGTTAGTAACAAGCCTAAGCTATCAGCCAAGCATTTATAATTAATAAGTCTCTGTGTGGTTATTTGGGAGTTGGCAAGTAGGACAGAAAATAACACCTATACTTTGCCTCTCACACTTTAGCCCAACATGTCTATCTGCAGTTCTTCCCTTGCACATTTTTCTTCCTGTTGGATGGACGGTATTCCAACATGGTGTTCTGTCATCTAGAGCATGTTTCTCTTCCATTTCATCTCCTTTGGTAATAAAGAAGAATTGTTAGATTTTCTTAAACTCACCATATAAATGATGCTTCCTCAAGGCAACCTGAGGTTTATATCCCATGTTGAGTTGGGATTCAGAGACCAGACCTCATTGCCTGACCTCACAGCATAGTGTGCTACCATTAATAGTGATGTCATATTTTTAAGTGGGTTCTTTAAATGCCTTGTTGAGGGGCTAGAGAGATGATCAGGGGTTAAGAACACTGGATGCTCTTCCAGAGGACCTGGGTTCAATTCCCAGCACACACATGGTGGCTTGAAACCATCTATAACTCCAGTCCCAGGGGATCTAAATCCCTCTTCTGAACTCTTTTGGAACTTTACACCAGTGGCACAAAGATATACATGTAGGGAAAACACCCATATACATAAAATAAAATTTTGTTTTTTAAAACATTCTGCATTGAATGAACAGAAAAAAGATACTACCAACTGCTAGCCAGTTCTCTTCCATGTGTACCAACCACTCCTTTCCTGGCTCCGAATCTTCCTTCCTGCTGCTGCTCCCAGAGAGAATGCTATGATGTTGTGACCTATAACAAAACCTTCTCTTAAAACTTTGTCCCTGTTTCCTGGTATACATCTCCTTAAACTTTCTTGACTTCCCTAGTGATGGGGATGGTCTTTGATTCCAGTCACTGAGGCAGAACTCTTCATGGAATTTCCTAAAGGACATGAGTGCCTCTTGTTAAAAGGTGACGCTTGGAGGGCCCTGCTTGGTGGGCTCCTCAACAGAAACCAATTAGCAGAAAAACATAGCCTAATAACAAGTTTAAACTTCCAGTCTGACTACCATCTTTGGGGAAGGGGAGTTAACAACCAAGCAGGACCATGTAATGGAGCTGCCACAAGAAGTCTCTAAAGGACCAGTGAGGAGAGACTCTGTACTGCTGGTTGTAGGATGCTAGTGTGGCCTGCCTGGGAGGGCACTGCAGCTCCATGTCCATTGCTTACCTAAAGCATCTCTTCATCATCACTTTTCCTTAGAAGTCTTTCTGATATGTAAGTTAGGCATTTGCCTGAGTCCCGAAAACCAGCTTAGCAATTGATGAAACCCAAGAAAGAGGGCTGTGGCTACCTCTATTCTGTAGCTGATTAGGACAGCTGCCATGGCTAGCCTGTGAGACTGATCAGAGCCTTCAACTTGTGGGCTCTGCACTGACTCCAGCTATTGTCAAGGGCAAGAGGGGGCTGGAGAGATGGCTCAGTAATAAAAAGGCTTCACTGCTCTTGCAGAGGATGTAAATTTCATTCTCAGAACTCACATGGTGACTCACAGACACTTGTAACTTCAGTTCCAGTAGATCTGATGCCTTCTTCTGACCTCCAAAAGGCACACAGGCAGGCAAAAAAAAAAATCTAAAAATAATTTTTAAGAGTAAGTTAAATTATGGAACACCTGGCTGGTGTTAGAGAATTGGTTATTATTTGTGACCAGAAGCACTGTAAAAATATCAAGAAAGAAGAAAACAAAACAACAACAACAAAAATAGTTTGTTCGCCTATAAAAATTATTGTTTCCCTTGGCCTATGCGAAGTAAAATCCAACTGATAAATCATCTCCCTAATAACTGTTTACCAAACCACAAAGGTATCCCCCCTTTTACCCTTTTATTAAATCCTGGAGATTAAATCTTATTCACGTCTACTTTTATTGAGACACTGATTTCCACTGTAACTTTACTACATTGTGTGTGTGTGTGTGTGTGTGTGTGTGTGTGTACAAGAAAGACAGAGAGAGAGAGAGAGAGAGAGAGAGAGAGAGAGAGAGAAATAACTCCATAAGCACATTATAAGTTTTAGAAACATCTTACAGTCCTGCTTATACCCCTCAGTGCCTAAACCTGGCGCTGTGCTGTGCATGGACATTGTCCCACAAGTCCCCCTCATAATAAGTCCTCCAGAACAAGCTGCACCATCAACTCCCATCTGCCCTAGAAGGCTGGTCATATTTGTACACAGCACATCTCATGCTGAAATCATCACAGGAATCCAAGACAAGCTCTCCTTCTTGGAGCAAGCAGCTCATTTATCAGAGACATAAACAAGTGTGGACCAGCAGATTTCTTATCTTCAGAAAAGCATTTCAGCAACATAAGAACAGAGACAAAAAGCCACTGAAGCATTCTTCATCAGTCCCTTATCTGTAGACTCACATACTCAAACTTGGCATTCCATGGGAATGTGTTGGCAAAATAAAACTCATCCATGAAGCTCTTTGCCTTCTAGAAAGATGGAGGTACCAATGGAGAATCTTATACTTAAAGAGAACAGACGCCTCTATCCTTCACTGCCCTGATATTCATAGATATTTCATAGATATATTCATAGATATTTTCTTTGTATGAGATTTGTGTCTGATATTCATAGATATTTCATAGATATATTCATAGATATTTTCTTTGTATGAAATCTGTGTCTATATCTCTCTCTCTCTCTCTCTCTCTCTCTCTCTCTCTCTGTGTGTGTGTGTGTGTGTGTGAGAGAGAGAGAGAGAGAGAGAGAGAGAAAGAGAGAGAGAGGTCCAGGGAGAGGGAGAGGGAGAATAATTAATATTGTGGGAAGAGAGACAAGGGTGTGTCACTGATGCCCTAGGCATAGGTTTTACTACTACACCTCAGTTTCAAGAAGTGTGTGGAGCACATGTTATGTATCAAGCCAGTGCCCAGTGAAGGAAATACAGAATATATCAAAAGCATTTTCAAGAAGCTGGGGGTTTAGAGTAAGCAATGGATGTAGATTACAACAGAGATGGAGTTCTGTGATAATATTAGAGTATGGTTAAAGACAGTACTTAGAGAAACCCACTGGATCTGCCTGGAGAACTCTAAACAGGCTGCCTGAGGAAGAAGCCACTACAAACTGGAGAAGCAGGAGGAAGTGACATCATTACAGTGGTCAAGGTTATTGTTTGCAAAATAAGCATTCTAGTTCCCAAGCTCTGCCAGCCAAAGCTCATTATTCACAGTTGACTGAGTTTGTAAGGGACTCAATATGTCTTGCCCAGTTTTTGCTCACAAACCAGACAAGAGAAGCTCGAAAGTAAAATGCAAATTCCTTCACCCTGCTGCTAGCTGGCAGCCCCTGGGAGAGCGTGGATGGGTTCACAGTGACACAGAGGGGCGTTGACCATGTCATCATCATAATTGGCTTTTGGTCTTGTTCCACTGACAATAATAGGGACAGTTAGAGGTGGAGCACCAAGCAAGCAGCAGAATATACTGAGTGCTTTACTGTGCTTTCTCACAAAGCTCTGGGCATGGCTAAATGTCCTACAGGGGGGTATCCTAGGATTTAGATGACACACATTTGAGAATGTAGGAACTGAGTTTCATGATATCTGTATCCCAGTTTCAAATGTTCAGTGCAAAAAGAGGCATGTATGCACAAATAAATAACATAAATATAGCAAACGGAAAATAATCAGTATACCTGGGTGCATGACATATAGGTAGCTGTGTATTATTATGGATGCTCTATACATTTGAAATTGTTCAAAATGAAAAGCTGATGAAAAAAC